TCTACTAAAAATGTAAAAATTAGCCGGACGTGGTGGCAGTCGCCTCTAATTCCAGCTACTCGGGAGGCTGAGGCAGGACAATCACTTGAACCTGATTCAAGCAGAAAGATTGCACCATTGCACTCCAGCCTGGACAAGAGCGACATTTCATCTCAACAACAACAACAACAACAAAAAAGATGCAATAAGTTCTGCTTTTGTCAGAACAGGCATAATTGAAGAAATGAGAGACTAGTAGTGATAGAGAAGCTCCATTAGTTTTCTCTCCCATTCAAAAAACACTTCAGAACTTGTTTTTTGCAAAGGCAGTCAACCTCAAATTCATTCTCTTGTGAATTGTTTGTTCCTTCACAAGCTCCCATGTTGAACTGGACTAAACTGTTTTCGGGGAACTTCAATTAGGCTATTTTGTCTCAGTATTCATTCAAAGAATCTCTTTTTCGGTTTAAAATTGAATTTACTGTACTGAATCTTGAGGTAATACTTCCTTTTAAAAAAGAATATTCATTGTCTCCATTTCTGTGATGTAACTTTGATATTCCCTCCCTTCCACAAAAAGATTTCTATGTAAATATTTTCTTTATATAGAATGGGAAAATTTACATGGTTTGACATTGAGAGTCAAGCATTAAATAAATGACAGTGTATATGAAAACAGCAAATCAAATGAAGTATACTTATAATGTTACTGAATTACTTTTAATTAAGGATAAGAATATAGAAAATAGAGGTAGCAACCAGAAAGGAGAAAATAGCTTAATGTATGCTACTTCTAAAAATATTAATCATTTAAGATGGCTTCTTAGCATCTTCTAAATAACTGCAATGTATATAGGTTACCCTTCTTTCCCAGGTTATTTCAATGTTGACTTTGTTAAATATATTAAAGTACTTTTCTTGATTACTATAAAGTGGCTTATTATCATAGAGACTCTACTAATTAGTAGTTTATTAACTCATAATATTACATAGTGTCCTATTGAGGAATTTATTATATCCAATTCAAGTTCAGAATTCACTTGTACAAAAAAATGAAAGTTTCAGCTCGATGTTGTAGTATAAGCCTGTAATGCACACCTCCCACCTTTTAGGGACAGAGGCAGGAGAATAGCTCTAGCTGGGGAATTCAGGGCCAGCCCGGGCAACATAGCAAGACTCCAGTCTCTGGGGGAAAAAAAACCAAGTTTGACCATTATTACTTTGAAAAATTGATACTAATTGGGTGAAGATCAGTTTGAATTAGAGAAAATTTTAAATTGAAGGTAGCTCAAAGTAGGCTAATAGATTCCTTGAAGATTCTTTCTAAATGTAAATAGTACTTCTTTGACATCTTTAAGGATAGTTTTAAAGTTTACTTGTGGATTTTTGTAACATACCTTTCTTTGACCTTATTTGTTGTTTTGCCATTTTAGATTGCTAAGTACCGGTAGAATTTACCCCCCACTACCTATCACAAATTATAAACTAATAAAGTTGAAATCATATAGCTTTTATGTACACATGCAATACACTTATACAGAAGTTTTTACCTGAAATTTTTTTCCTGTTTCTCTAGGGCAATGTGTTTATGTATTATGGACTGTCTAATTTCTATCAAAACCATCGTCGTTATGTGAAATCACGAGATGATAGTCAACTGAATGGAGATTCTAGTGCTTTGCTTGTAAGTAAAATGATAAATATTAAAATATGGTATCTATAAGAATATGTAGTATCTGTTCAGTTAGAATTGTTAGGGTGAAATTAAAGTGCTATAATTTATAGTTTGTATAGTGAAGATTTTTAGTTAAAATATTTTTCCTGGAATTTGCACAGATGCACTGATGTCCAGCCTGGTTTGGAAATCTGTGGACTAGGGGATCTTAGTTTCTTGACTGTTGTTCAGTTTTCCGTAGTAGTGGCTAGTGCCTAAGTTTTTTTGGTGGGGGGCGGTGGGGACGGAGGCTCACTTCGTCTGGAAGGCTGGAGCACAGTGACATGATTTTGGCTCACTGCTACCTCTACCTCCTAGGTTCAAGTGATTCTCCTGCCTCAGCCTCCTGAGTAGCTGGGATACCAGTCATACACCACCATGCCTGGCTAATTTTTGTATTTTCAGTAGAGACAGGGTTTTGCCCTGCTGGCCTGGTTGGTCTCAATCTCTAGACTTCAGGTGATCCACCTGCCTCGGCCACCCAAAGTGCTGGGATTACAGGTGTGAGCCACCGCAACCAGCCCTAAGTATTTTATGTTTCGGTTGCCAATGCAGCAAACATTCAGAGGCCCAGAGCAATTCAGGATTTCTTAGAATTGGTAAATCTCTTAGAACACAATTTAGGACTCTATCATGAGCAGCATGGGTCTGGTAAATGTAAAATATAACTGTTCTAGGTTATCCTAATTGGTTTTATTGCTGATCATCAGTTCCTGATGTTGGAAATAAGAGCTTGTAGTTACAAAGGAAACGAGCACTTAGGCAAAAAGTTTTGTCATCAAGGCAACTTACTTCTGTAGGAGGGTGCTGCCTGCATCAGTAATGATGGCAAGAGCACATTGAACAAAGGAGGGAAGGGGGTTTTATCCCCAACACAGCTGGTCCTTGATTCTGTGTCTTTTCCCCATTGGTTGAGGTCAGACTGCACAATCTAAACTAATCCCGATTGGCTATAATAAACAGAGGAGGGGTGTGGGTTACAGTGGTGGGAAGGTCCATTGTGGTGGGACGGGTAGTTTGCAGAGCAGGTAACTAGGAAGCAGGAAAGTACAAGGAAGTTGATCTTAAGAACAAAGAACAAGCAAGTTAACAAGCCAAATATGTGAAGAGAAAATTAACTGTATCTGACACTGATACATGGGATTTTAAGCAATGCAAGTCTGCTTAAAGATTCCTTGGTATACACAGGGTTTTGATTAGGCCTATGATATTTTGAACCTGTGTGGGGTTTACTCCATAGGATCCAGTTGTTAGAGCTCAAATCCATAGAAGTTGATGTACTGTGAGATATACCAAGTTTCTAGACCTTACTGAATGTGTTTGTTGGGATTATAGATTTTGTATATTCCAAAACTCCAGAAACCGTGGCTGATTTACAGTTATTTTATTTATATACATGCCCTCTTCATTGAGGGTAAAGGAAACTGAAACTGATTGTATTCTTGCAAACTGTAAGCCAAGATTTTAGGCCAGACCAGGAATTGATCAACTTTTTCTATAAAGGGCCAGGCATTATGTGTAAGGCCCATTACAATCTGGCATCAGCCTCATTATCTTATATACTATATTTAATATATTAAACAAGGCCTGGCTGCTTTGGGCCTTGTTTGCTGCTCCCTAACCATGCATTGTAACACAAGTAATCTGCTCATCTTGCCATTTAGCATTTTGTTTGCTTAGAATGTCATTTTTACTCTTTCCCTGGAGGTCTTATCTTCCTTCTCAAGGCCTGCTGTTTTTCTGAATGACCTTCGATGGAAAAATATGCTTCTTTACATATTTACTTCATTTGTTTTTTGTTCCAAGTCACTATCACTTTTTGCTTTGATAAACAAATTGTGTCTCACATCATCCAGTCCTGCCCCTTCTTTCCAGGCCATTCTCATAGCAGCTGTAGTGATGTTTTTAAAAAGTGTAAATATCATTTCCCTAACTAAAATCTTTCAGTGGTCCTATTAGCACCTGGAGTAAAATCTCTGAATTATCTGAGCTATGTGTAATCCTGTAATCTCATCACATATCATCCTCCCTCTTGGCATGCTCCAGCTACATTCACCATTACCTTTACAGAAATAAGTTCTTCTTTAGTGGCATGTGCTGTTTACTTTGCTTACAACTCTCTTATGTCTTCTTTCATATGGCTGGCTCCTGCTCTTTTTGTATGTCTTAACTTAAATGATAGCTACTCCATAGTCAAGCATAGCTTCTAAAGCAGCTCCTCCTATTCTCTTTCCATTAAATACTCACACAACTTCTTCATAACACTTTGTAATTTGTAATTGCATGTTTGCTTATCTGTTGTCTTTCTTTCCAGCTATACTGTAAGCTCATGAGCGCTGGGAACATGACTTTTTAAAATCACTATTTACCAACTGCCTGGTTACTGCTTGCACATGGAAGGCATATAATAAATATTTGCTGAATGAATATAGACATCTTCATCATGGCTCTTATTTCGTATGATAGTTGGTTTCATAAGGGTCTGCTTTCTCTATAATATTTGGAGTTGCTTAAAAGTAGGGATTGTATTCTTTTCATTTTTCTGTTTTTAGCACCTAGTATAATACATGCTACACATTAGGTACTCATCAAATAGCTTTTTTTTTTTTTTTTTTTTTTTTTTTTTTTTTTTTTTTTTTTTTTTTTTTTTTTTTTTTTTTTT